GATGTGTGTAACCATCACCATAGTTAATTTTATAACCTTTTTATCACCTCAAAAGAAACATTCCCATCCCCTTACTAATCTATCAAGCAACCTCACTAATCTACTTTCTTGGCTTTATGGATTTCCCTATTTTGGACTTTTCTTATGAGTGGCATTGTATATAATATGTGGTCCTGTGTGACTGGCTTCTTTCACTTAGTGTAATGTGTTAAAGTTTTATCTGTGTTGTAGCATGTTTTAATACTTCATTCCTTTTTATGGCCAAATAGCATTCTTTTATATGACATTTGATCTGTTCATGGATACTTGTCTTGTTTATACCTTTTGGCTATTATGAATAATGCTGCTACAAACATTTGTGAACATGGCAGTGTATTTTCATTTTTCTTGGGTATACACTTAGGAGTAGAATTGCTAGGTTATATGGTAACTATGTTAAATCCTTTGAGGAAATGCCAAAATGTTTTCCAAAGTGGCTGCACCTTTTTACATTCCTACCAGCAGTGTATGAGGATTCTGACTTCTTTGCATCCATGCCAACAATTATTATCTGACTTTTTTGATTTTAGCCTTCTAGTGCTTGTGAAGTAGTGTCTTATTTTGGATTTGATTTTCATTTACCTAATGGCTAAGGATACTGAGCATCTTTTTATGTGCTTGTTGGTAATTTGTATATGTTTTCCTTGGAGAATTGTCTGTTCAGACCCTTTGCCCAATTTTTAATTGGGTATTTGTTTTTGTTATTGTTTTTTAGCATTCTTTATATCTTCTGAACTTTTTATTATGATAAAATTTACCATTTTAACCAATTTTAAGTATACAATTCTCTGGCATTAAGTACATTCACATGGTTGTGTAAACATCACTACCACCTATCTCCAGAACTTTTCATCTTCAAATGAAACTCCGCACCCATTAAGGACTAACTTTTCCAATCCTCTCTTCCCTAGCCCCTGGCAACCACCATTCTACATTGTCTCTATAATCTTGACTATTTTAGGATCCTCATATAAGTGGGAGGGCTAATAAAGTTTTTGTCCTCTTGTGTCTGGCTTATTTTACTTAGCATAGTGCCTTCAAGGTTCATCAGTGTTGTGGCATGTATCAAAATGTCCTTCCTTTTTAAGGCCGAATAGCATTCGGTATGTATATGGCATTATCATTCATCTGTCAGTGGGAACTTAGGTCAGATATATGATTTGCAAATATTTTCTCCCCTTTTGTTGGTTGTCTTTCATCTTCTTGATGGTGTCCTTTGAAGCACAAAAGCTTTTAATTTTGATAAAGTATAGTTAATCTAATTTTCTTTTTATTGCTCATGTTTTTGGTGTCATATCTAAGAATTCATAGTACTAAATCTGAGGTCACAACGATTTACCCCTATATTTTCTTCTAAGAGTTTTATAGTTTTAACTCTTCAGGTCTTTTATGCATTTGGAGTTCTTTTGTGTGTGGTGTGAGGCTCCAAGTTCACTTTTTGCATGTGGATACATAGTTATGTTAACATCATTTGTTGAAAAGACTATTTCCCCACTGAATGAATGGTCTTGGCATCCTTATTGAAAATCAATTGGGGGGGCGGGAAGAAAACCAGTCAAACGCAGATATGTGGTTTTATTTCTGGACTTTCAGTCTTTTTTTTGACTCATCTATATATCTGTCCTTTTGCCAGTACTACACTATATTTTTTTTAAAGATTTTATTTATTTATTTGAGAGAGAGAGAGAATGAGAGATAGAGAGCATGAGAGGGAAGAGGGTCAGAGGGAGAAGCAGAC